TTTTTTTTTATCCATAGGATGACTGCAAAAAATTAAGGCTACACTTAAGTTATCTATATTTACTCCATAAGCACTTGCTACACCTTCTTCCATTTTTGTGTAGGCTTTGACTAATTTTCTTTTTGCTGTTACAACTCGTTGATGCTTTGCGACTAAATGAACTTTAATTAGTGAGACTCCAATTGATATTAAAGAGTTGTCTAACTGTTATTTATTACAAGATTTATCTTTAACAAATAATACATCACCATCAATTTCACAATCCATTTCATTATCAGAAACTTTATCACGATTTGACAAAAACTGAATTAATGAGCGAAAAAATTTCCATCCTGGTTTACAGCCTAGATTTTTGGATTTAAAGTTATAAGCCATTTCAAGAGATATGGTTGTTTGACCTAAAATAAAATCATTAATTTTTAATAAACATACTCTGCTTCTAAATTTATATACATACATATATATATATATATTTTTATAACATATATATATATATAAGTTAATATATAATAAATAATTATATATATATGCGGTAGTTGTGTAGTGGTAGAGTGCTCGCTTCATAAGCGAGAGGTTCTGAGTTTGATCCCCACCACGTCCGTGGTAGTACCGCGCTCAACTTGTTTCTTCATACAGTGGCCTTATTTGTCAAGGTTCGTGTTTCGGAGTTATAGAGTCGAGAAAGGGTTATAACCACAAATAAGTAGCCTCCTCGTCTGTAGTGGCCTTCTCGGCCTTGAGAAGGTGAATTATCAAAATATATATATATATATTACCTTTAACCTTCTTTTTGTGTCTTTTTAAAATATCGCAACACTTATCATTTTTTAGTAGAAATATCAGTCCAAAAACCTGCTCATGATGATAACAAATGGACTTTATCTCTTCGAATGATGTAGTCTCAAGTAAACCAGACCTCCAAATATAAGTATCTTGAAAGTGCTTTTCTAGATTACAAAAATCTTTTAATCCTTGTTTTTGAAAAAAACATATTTTGTGACATTCATCTTTTAAAACTTTTCTAAACCCACAAGATTCTATTTTATCAATATACTATTATTTATTATTTCTAAAAAAGATGCAAGAAAAATCTATGATTCATTTAATGTGTTCATAGGGTCAAGGTTGTTTAGGATTAGAAATTTTGACCTAATTAGTAAGCATTCTAACTTTAATTTTACAACCTTATAAATATTTCTAAATCATAAAACTACTAAAAAAATAGAAATAGCAACTCAACAACATCTAAAAGAACATTTCGATATAGCCAAAACTGTTTCAGCTACAGAACTGTTAAATTATCACATCTTTTTGTATAGTTTAATTTATCAAAATACCTGTTTTTTAAGCAATAAATTTAAGTAGATTTGACCATATTTTTATTTCTGATTTAGAAAAGACCACTCTCCAATTCTTTGTAGTAACTATAGCTTAACTATTCAGGACAACTTCTAAAAAAAAAAAAAGAAAAAAAAAAATGAGGTACATCGCCATTTTTGGGATTGGACTCGCCCCAGTAAAATTGTGGTAAACGTTCAAATTTTAGGTGTTATGCTTGTTTTTAAATATTTTAAGTTGTTTCATTGGATTCGTTAGCCCACAATATGTAAAGGTACAAACTTTCAGCTTTCCAACACACATATAACAGAAACTAGGACAAAAACCATTTTTTAAAATGGCGGATTTTTGTTGGTTGGAGGCAAACTTAAAATAGCTATATCTTAGGAACCGATGGAAATTAGACGATAAAATTGTCCATGTACACAATTTACTAAAATCTTTAAGTAATTTAAAAACCAGCAAAATCTGAGACTTAGGGTTGCATGCCCTGGATGTTTTCACATGGAATCTCTTAATTGTGAGCTCCTAAATTAATGTATGAAGCACTTAGTCATTTGAGGTTTTAGTTATTTCTTGCTTCAAAGACTCTAATAAAGAGGATGAAATTTTAAATTTAAATAGTACTATGAAAGAATGCTATGAAGATCCAAAATTTGGTGACTATATTTCATTCGATCCCCACCACGTCCCTGGTAGTACCGCGCTCAACTTGTTTCTCCATGCAGCGGCCTTGTTCGTCAAGGTTCGTGTTTCGGAGTTATAGAGTTGAGAGAAAGTTATAACCACTACTAAGTAGCCTCCTCGTCTGTAGTGGCCTTCATGGCCTTGAGGAGGTGAATAACAAAAAAAAAAAAAAAAAAAAAATCTATAGTTCCAAGATATTATTAAAAGTTATCTTATGTTAATGACCAATGTGCAAAATGATTTCTTTCTAGTGTACGTACTTAGAAATGGTGAAAATAATATGTTAAAGATTATATCAATTACAGCAGATATGCTCAAGGGTTGAATTAACGCATCGCGATTTGCGATATCTGTTAAATTATCTGGTCTTCAAAGTTTCAGTTTATGGAAAACCACGAAATTTACGGAATAGGCGAATAAACTTTAATTTGTTAGTGAAAATGTTATAAAAAACAAAACAATAAATTTATGACTACAAAAGTAATAACACTACAGTGTTGTTACTTTTATAACACTCTTTTAAGTTACATTTATAGTTTATTGTTTGATCAAACAACACATAATCAAGATATTATAAATAAAAATGATTTAGTTAAGTAATTCCAAACTTTAGTTAAAGTAGTAATGCATCTAAAAAAAGTACAATGGATATTTAAAACCTTAGCAACTTTTACGAATACATATTTTTATAAACAGTTTAGCATTTCTAAACATCTTACAAACGGTCCGGAAAAAACGCGCGTTCACTTTAAAATCAACCAATGAAAACACTGGTAATTTACTTCTTAGGAGAAATCTATGTTAAAATGGGAGGGGGGGGGGGGGGAAGGCTAAAAACTTAAATTTTGTTTTATTAAATCATAATAAAAGTAAAGACAAAAAAATATATTTCTAAAAATACTTCTTTATAACTAAAATTTATTAACTTGAACACCTCTGTTTTTAGTTTTAAGTAAATGTCAGTACTACTCTCAGTGGCGAAACTGCGGAGGGGGGAGGGGGGTTAGCAGACAAAAAGTGTCCTGTCTTTAAACTAATTTTAGGTTGCATGGGCGATATGAGGCTCATTTTGAAAATCGTGCAGGAGGGGGGGATTTTGCTACTGACTACTCTAGGTGGGGGTGGAAATTTTAGTCAGGATGTATAAAATGGGAGGAGGAAATAATAAAAAAAAGCGGGAGGATTTACAATGAAAGTTTTATTATTTATCGGTTACCAATATATATTTTTTTTAATTTTAAGGCCAATTTTCACTGAATTTTTGTTTTGAGATATAGTTTTTTGTTTATAACAAGTGACTTGTTATAAACAAATAACATGATTTTCAAAATGAGCCCCATATCGCCCATGCAACCTAAAATTAGTTTAAAAATAGGACACTTTTTGTCTGCTAACCCCCCCCCTCCTCCCGCAGTTTCGCCACTGAGAGTAGTACTGACATTTACTTAAAACTAAAAACAGAGGTGTTCAATTTAATAAATTTTAGTTATAAAGAAGTATTTTTAGAAATATATTTTTTTGTCTTTACTTTTATTATGATTTAATAAAACAAAATTTAAGTTTTTAGCCTTCCCCCCCCCCTCCCATTTTAACATAGATTTCTCCTAAGAAGTAAATTACCAGTGTTTTCATTGGTTGATTTTAAAGTGAACGCGCGTTTTTTCCGGACCGTTTATAAGATGTTTAGAAATGCTAAACTGTTTATAAAAATATGTAATCGTAAAAGTTGCTGAGGTTTTTAACATTGTTTAAATATCCATTGTACTTTTTTTAGATGCATTACTACTTTAACTAAAGTTTGGAATTACTTAACTAAATCATTTTTATTTATAATATCTTGATTATGTGTTGTTTGATCAAACAATAAACTATAAATGTAACTCAAAAGAGTGTTATAAAAGTAACAACACTGTTGTGTTATTACTTTTTGTAGTCATAAATTTATTGTTTTGTTTTTTATAACATTTTCACTAACAAATTAAAGTTTATTCGCCTATTCCGTAAATTTCATGGTTTTCCATAAACTGAAACTTTGAAAACCAGATAATTTAACAGATATCGCGAATCGCGATGCGTTAATTCAACCCTTGATGCTATTGGTTAAAAACGGAAGTGGATTCAATGACACTGTTACAAACACTGCAAGTTAGAGTCAAATTATTTGGTGAATATATACTTAAAGAAAATATTAATCTGTTTAGCTTTTATAGATGTCAGCATATTGACTTTTTTGCAAATTATTTTAATCCTAGTATTAAAAATTTAGAATAAGCTAATATAATTACTTATAGAACTTCTGTTATACATATAGTAAATAAACTACAGCATATCCTTTGGCAATGGAAGAAGTTCCTTTCATATGGGGAAAAAAAAAAAGAATCAATGAGGTTTATGTTTACTTATAGGAGTTCATTGATTAGATTTTCATCCTCAAATAAGAGTGTTTATTTAAAGAATGCAACATTAATGTTAAAAGTTTATGTTATTAGCAGATGGTACAGTAGTATCTGAAATAAAATCACTTAAAAGAGATCATGAAGAAGCAGATACTAGAATAACGGCTCACTGCTATCATGCATCTTTATTTTATCAATATGTTAAAAATTATAAGTTCTGACACTGATATATTTTTAATTGTCAAATATGCTATTAAACCCTTTACTATTAATGTATCATATGCAACTAGTAATTAAAACAAGAATTGTATAATTATTTGAAGAAAAGTAGTTGATCATTGAGGTAAATCTTTTGTAACTGTTATAGTTGGCTTCAATTCTTTTGCAGGTTAATTGATTAAATTAGTGTCATTTATGCTTTTTTCTTCTTTTTTTTTCAAGTTTCATCACTGTAATAGCAATATTTAAAACACTGTAAAATTGTATTTTATATAGTGTGGTAATACAGTTAATGGGGAATAGTCAAGATGCTATAATTGAATATCGAAATATCTATAGACCGTTTTATTTTATTTTTAGGATGCTTCACTACAAGTTCATTTTATGGTAAATGAAAAGCCTCATTATTCAAAGTCTTACAGAAGAAAATTGAGTATGAAGTTGTTTTAGCAAAGATTGGTGAAAATCGCCTGATAACATCAGTTTCGTTCACTAAGATAGAGAAACTTGTTTGTCACTTTTATGGTAATGATATAGTTTTTTTAGTTAACAAGTTGAGTTATGTACTCTTCAAGAGCAGCAAATTTAGTAAAGATCAGTTGCAGGCTGTTAAAAACAATTTTTAGATCATTAATTTATTTCGCACAATAAAAATCAGTTCATTTGATAATATAAAATTCTCAATTTTGAAAAGTTTAAAATAATCTTAAATTTCTTGAAAACTGCAGGAGAAATTCTTGGGAAGTTTTCAAGTTCTAAATCAGTCTACAATGACATTTTTATATTTTGGATTGCAGTCTATAAATAGTGTTTTTTAATTAATAAATTAAATCTTTTAAACAAAAAATTAAAGTTAAACAAAAAAAGAAAAAAACATAGTTTTTCTTTTAATTCTTGTTTTATAAATCTTTATTTAAAGCATGTCATGAAATCATAGTAAAAATCAAAAGTACCTTGTTTTTTACTTGTAAGCTTTCATTATCAAACTTTAAAAGTACTGGAGGAAGAAACGTTCCAAGTGATGTTTGAAATTGCTCATCAGTTTCAGCAAAAATAATCTTTAAAAAAACTCTTTCAACCAATTCTAAAAATACATTACTGTCATCAAAACAAATTACTGTATTCAAAATAAATTACTGTCATTAAAATAAATTACTGTCATTAAAATAAATTACTGTCATCAAAATAAATTTAAAAAATACATTTTGTTGACAAAAATAAATTACTGCCATCAAAAGAAAATTAAAAATATATTTTGTTGACAAAAAAAATTATGTCATCAAAATATCTTTAATACTCTGTTGGGCGCAATATTGGAACAAATAAAATCAGGTGCAATGTGAGTATTAGACACAGAGTTAAAAGTTGTTGTTTTTATATGGGCTATTTTAATATAAACTATATAAAAGTAATTACTGATCTTTATAAAGATGTATACAAAAAGAATTTTTAACCTTTTATGAGAAAAAAATCAGTCAAATGATCATATAATGAGTAATATTACAACTTAAATAATAAAACAAAAAAACAATCTAGTTTCATAATAACCATTATCAATATTAAACATCTACATTTTTTCAAAATCAATTTTGTAAGTCACAATAATGTGATTTAAATTATATTTAATCCAAATAGTTATTTTGTATTTACTTAAATTGATGCATTGATGCTAAAATGGCGCCCAGTCAAATAGGGTTACCACTTTGAGAAAGCTTCTACAATTGCATATGCTTCTTTTACAATAGCCGGTTGATGTATTTCATGTTTGTTTAGGGATTTTGAAAAGAATGCTACTGGCTGTCCATTTTGGTTTAATGTTGCAGCTACTGAAAAATCAGATGCACCGGTTTCCACGACAAGCAAGATTGTTTTATCAATTTTTTTTATGACAGCATTGGCAATATTATTTTTTAGTAGCGCGAATGTGTCTCAAGCTTGCTGATTGAGTGAAAATTAGAAGTGGGATTTGATGTTAGGCGCTTGTAAGATTAAGAATACTAAAAAAGTGGTACTTGGACAATTAATTGATCTGATCGCCTATTATAGGTAAAGGATAAGCATCACTGTAAGTGAATTTGTTTATAGTTTGGGAACAATCAACACACATTTGTTTTTTGTGTAGTTTATTTGTAGTGATAACGATTTGTGCCCTCTAAGGTTATTTGCTTGGTTCTATAATTTTGTCATTTAATAACTTTTTTATTTTGGTTCGAATGAAAAGCTTATCGACATGACTGAATCTTCAAGATTTAGTTGCAATCAGATGACAATCAAATGTCTTTGGAGAGAAATAATGTTGCCAGAGATATTTGAGATTTCTTTAGACTGCAAACTAACATAGGGGGTAGTTTTCTACAAAAAGTTATTGTTATATTGCAATGTTGTTTCATAAAAGTTTGACCAAGAATATCATAAGCATAAGTCAGGTAAGATTGATAAGGTGACGTCAGTATACTTTTGATTTTGAAAAGTCATATTCATAGATCATCGAGGTCATATTTTAAAAATCCAGAAAATTGTTTGGGTTAAAAAATCGGAAAAAATGTGGAATTAATTTTCTCTTTATTTCCTCCTAATATTTCTTTTGGCTGAGTTGTTTCCAATTTTTTTTCAAACTTTTCATAATTTTTGTATAAGTGATGAGTGAAAAAGCTTAAAAAACAAATATATAACAAAAATATATATCTAAACTTGCATGTATGGAAATTGTTTTGGATATCCAGAAGAACTAAAAGTTGAATAAAACATTAGGAATTCAAGAAATATCCAGAAAAAGATAATCCCTGCATGTTTACCTTGCAGTAGCCTTTGATTTTTGTTTTCAGTGACTAGTTTTTATATATAGGATTTGATACTTAATAACAATGTATTTGTTGATAAAATTGCCAGAGCTTCCAGTATCTATTAGTGTAGCAAAACTCTGTCCATTTACTTCAACCTTTCAAACAGTGTGTGAGAGACAATTAAAGGCTCCAACATTTATTATTGCAGACATATCATCGGGCTCAAAAACAACTAATGATTTATTCGATTTACATACTTTTGAAAAATGTCCTTGTTTCTGGCATTTGTGATAAATAGTATATATAGCAGGACAAATGAGTAAATGGTGATTGTTTCCACAGAAGTAACACATTTTCATGATTTATGGTAGCTTATTTTCTTGCATTAAGAAAAAAAATGCAACAAGAAGGAATTTTTGCAATAAGAAGCGTACATTTGATCTGCTACATCAACTCCACAGTTAGTTTGGTTTTAAAAAATTTCTAGATTTATTTGCTCTCTAGATTGAGGGTCAGCATCATAATCATCGTGTAAACTTGAAACTAGATTTACGCTTTTTCTTTCACATGGGATATAGGGGACCAAAACTTTGTCATTAATAAAATCAAACATCCTTGTGTTTGCCTTTCTACCTTTGAAATTTATAAATACAATTGGCAGCAGTAAGTGCCCAGGGCCCCAGCCCTGGCAAAATGAGACATTTTTCAAACCACGTCCCAGCTTAGGCCCCAGTCAAACTATAAGATTTAGCAGGGGTTAATAGCTGGGGCTATAAAAAATTACTAGTAAAAATACTTTATATATTATAATTTTATGCTTACATTTACTATTTATTACATACTGACATATAATTATACAGGCCTTGCGATAAAGCGTCGGGCGATGTGAATTTTACATTGTCCAAGAGCGATTTTGTGTGTAGTTAGGGCTATTTGCGTCAAGCAAAAAAATTTTTGTTTGAGTATATTTAAAGATATTTTAATGAAGTAATATACAACTATTTTAACATTTAATAAAGTATTTTAAAGACCGCACGCAGTTAATATAAAAGTTTGAATTACAAAAAAAATAAATATGCTCATTATTTACAAGTAGAAAAAATTCAGATTAAAAAAAAGTTTAAATCTTTTTAAGCTAGCATTTTAATAAAATTAATCAGCAATAGCAAAGTTGTCGATAAAATTAAACAAAAATACTTTCTTTTATTTTTCGATTTTTATTCTACATGATTCAATAAAAAAGTACAGTTATTAAAATTTTTGTAAAAAGTAACTCGAAAAAAATGACTTAAATAATAACAATCACTTTTTTGTTAAAAGTTACCGAAACTCTACGAAGCGTGCTCAAGAACAGCTGCTGAAAAATAGAACGTCAATATTTTTCAAATAATTTTTAAGAATAATTTTTAAGAATAACTTTTTCGCTGAAATATTTCTTTTATACCTAAAAGATTTTTAGTCTAACATTTTATTTTATTTTACCAAAAATAAAATTCTTTGTAAATATTAAAAATCTATTCAAAACGTTCGTTAAAGTTTTTTAATAATATGAGTGATTGTGCTTATCAACCGCTTTATGAAAATAAATAAAAATAAATAAATAAAAAAATATTATATAAAATAGTAAAAATATTAGCTATTGCACAGTTTTTAATCGTACAATATTAAAATTTCTAGTTTATTACTCTGACTTTTTAAAAAGAAAAAAAAATTATTTGAAAAACTTATGTTTTTTATCGTTTAGTATAGACAAAACGTGTCAAACGTCGAGAAAATAAACAAATGTTTTTACATTTTAAAAAACGAAACATTCCAAAACATTTTTAAATAATAACATTTCTACATTAATGATTTAAAGTAGTTTTGTGGTAATTAAGTAAATTGGTGCAGTTAATGTCGATAAATATGAAAAGCAAACAAAAAGAATTTAATGACGTCAAAAATCACATCGAGCTTATGTGTCACGCAGTTTTTATTCATCACAAGGCCTGATTATATATTTTCAAACTCTAATTTACACGCAACAAGATTACAAGCAACCACTATTAAGTTATGAGTTACTTAAAAATAGAGAATAAGTAAAATTACTAGGGAATGGTTAATTGAAGACTTAAAAAGTAGTAGGTTGTATGTAAAAGAAAAACATGAAGATGGCTAAGAGCTATTAAGTTTTTTTTATGGGCAAGGAAAAAAACTGAATTAATAAAAGTTTTTATAGCATGAAGGGACAGATGCATTAAAAGGATGCAACTTGTTGAATAAGAACCAAGCAAGAATGAGTTTAGACTTATCGTAATAGAGATAATAGCTTGTTTGAGCATTGACCATGATGGTATTTGTAGAAAAAAGAAAATGCAATCTTACAACAATGGAAGAGTGGTTCAAGTTTGGCAGATAAAGCAGGTCTAATATTTTTTTGCAATAAATGAGTTTTGTTGTCTAACAAAAATTGTGGATTTTAAGTCCAGAATTTAAATAACATAAGCCACTGCAAAAAATAAAAAATAAAAAAAAATAAGCCACTGCAAGCTTCAGGCTGTTACAGAAGAGAGATCAGATTAAAAATCAGCTGCTTATTCTAAGCAATCAAACGTGAAGATTTTCAGACAAGACAAGAGTATAAAGTTGAGTTGTCAGCAAATAGGGCCACTTTAGTAGTAAAATTTTCATGAATATTGATATTATAGATAAGAAACAACACAGGAGCAAAGATAGAACCTTGTGGCACCCTTAAAGATACTTGAAATAAAGAGTGTAGGCCTTCAAGAATAAAAATCTTTATATAAATAAACTGATAACAGAGTTTTGAAATATTGGAACCATTCATTTAGCTATGATAGACTATGATGGAAATCTTGGCTGAAGCACAAATTGTAGTGTTTAATTGAGAATTAACTTTAGCATTGGAAACTAGAGTGATTTGGATGTTCAACAATGAGTTTATCTGTTTAACTGGCAGAAGAGTATCGCCATTAGATTCAAGAGTTAAATTAGAATAAGATTTCTTTACAAATAATTCTGCTTTATTTTGGGGAGAAATAAAAAGATCAGACCCATGAATAAGAGATTAAATGTTGACTTACTTTAGTTAATGACATTATTGAAGACTAACCTAAAGTCTCTAGAAACTAACATCTGATATATGATAAAAAAAATTTAGTAAACTGAGAATAACATAGCTTAACATCAGACAAGACCTTTTTACATTGGCTTCTTGGAATAATTAAGACATTTGTTCTTAAGAGAGATGTTCTTGTAAAAAAGATGAAAAAAAATGAATAATGTTTAATCATCATCATCATCATCATCATCATCATCATCATCATCATCATCATCATCATCATCATCATCATCATCATCATCATCATCATCATCATCATAATCATCATCATCATAATCATCATCATCATCATCATCATCATCATCATCATCATCATCATCATCATCATCATCATCATCATCATCATCATCATCATCATCATCATCATCATCATCATCATGATGATGATGATGATGATGATGATGATGATGATGATGATGATGTTGACCATAATGATCTTTACATATGCATATATATACAAAATATAACATAAATTTTGAACAAAAAAATATATACTTTAGGACGCATAAATGTTTATGCAGCCCAACCACAAACCCGGTCCGGGCCCTGGCTATATTTTTCCAAAACCAGCCCCAGTCCCAGTCAAATAATACCCCAGTCGCTTACTAATCGGCATTTGTTATTTTTTATTCTGACAGCGTCGACATAAAAACTTGTTTGTTTTTAATTTAACAATGAGATTGAAGCCAGCAAACCAATTATCCCTGTTATACTCTGACCAGTTTTAAATAAAAGCTCAGCTATTCTCATCACCACATCACTTGGTTTGCTGCAAGAACAGAAAGGATCTTGTTGATGTTTCCCAGCATAAATTTTTAATTTAATAGTATAAATATCACTGGCATCAACTAGACTATAAGGTTTTATACTGAATTTATCTGGTTTTGAGAGAATATATTGCCGAAACTGATACCTATCTTGAAATCCCAGAAGCATTTCATCAATAGTGAGATTTTCCCCTAGGCTAAAACTTTTTTGACAATGTTTCGAAAATTATTCAAATTAGGGCAAGGCATTTTCATTCTTTCCTTTGGTTTTCTTAGTCTTGAATTGTTTATGACTCATAACAAGGCTGAATTTGTCAATGCCATCATCTTGTTTTCCTCAAAGATCATCCAAACTTATTTGATTTGCTTTATATACTCGTGCTAGATGCAATAGTTCAATGAATGCTTTTACCTCAATTATTTCAGTGGACCTAATATCTCTTTCTCTTGCACAAATCTTTTACAGAGTCAATATAAAGAGTTGTGTACTTGACAATTCACTTGAATTGATATTCAAGTATATTGTCAGTAAAAAATTATTCCAACATTCAAATGGAGTTTTTTGCATTTTGACTTTCAACATCAACTTATTTTCAGTAGTTTATTAAGCTAATTTTTATTTTTATCTTCGCCCATAAAATAGTTTCCTTGTTTTTCTTAATCATTTTCTGTTTTGTTTTCAGTTTCTGAGTTAAGAATGCAACTTAACTTTCAGAGTCAATTCTTCTGCAATCCCTTCAATTTGTGTGGGTTCTTCTGCAACTTCTTCCTTAAGTAATTTCCTTAGTTCATAAAATTGAAACATCATTAAACTTAAAAAAAAATAGTTTATGTTTAAAAAAAATAGTTTTGGTCATTTTATGATATTCTATTTATTTTTATAAAATACTTTAGTTTAATAAAATAGTTTAGTAATGCTAGTCTAAAAAGAGCAAAAAATAAAAATTCTGAAAAATACCTACCTAAATAAAAAGACTAAATCAGGCACAATGAGCCTAACATAACACACTAGTCGCTTAATACTGCTATCTGCAAAGTAACTTAGTATGAGATTCTTATTAAAGCAGGATATTACTAGAAAGATCTAGATTTAAAAGTACTCCAACATGGAAGAAATAACAAATTAATGAAACCTGTGCCTGTTAGATCAGTTGCACTCAACAGAGGGTTAAATTACCTGCTCATATAGGTTTTAAAAATAAATTAAAAAATAATGGACTAGACCTTGTAGAAAACTCCTTGAAGATTGTTTAACTTAAGATTATTAAAATTAGTTAAATTAGTTAAATATGGAACTTTTAAATTTTTTTAAACTTTTGTGTTTTAAATATTTCTACAACTCTAGCCAAATGTTAACAATATACATTTTTGTTTTTCAATTTAATTTTTTGAGTATTATAGCTAACTAAATTTTGATTTTGCCTAACAAACTATCATTTTGAATTACGTGCGCTGTAATATTTTGTAACATAAAAAAAAAAAAATTAATTTTCTTAAATTTATTAATTTACATTTGTAATTTTGTATATAAATAAAAAAAAAAGTAAATTTACATTTACATTCGTAAGAATTCATCCAATTGTCAGGAAACTAGGTTTGAATCCACAGACTACTCTTTAATGTGCTTTTATTTAGCACCACTTCACTCTTTTATGTGCTATTGTTTAGCACCACTACATCTCCTTTCTCTTTGTTCTATATTGCTCTCCTTCATCTCAAGACTGCACTCTTCTTGATGTTATTTCTGATCATATTGACCAAGCCCATATTATATATATATATATATATATATATATATATATATATATATATATATATATATATATATATATATATATATATATATATATATATATATATATATATATATATATATATATATATATATATATATATATATATATATATATATATATATATATATATATATATATATATATATATATATATATATATATATAT